AAACTGAGGTTTTAAAACACATCCTTCAAGTTCTCTCATTTGTCATCCATCGTGGATGGAGCTCAGTAATAAATGTAAAATTATTTGTTTTGCATACACCTTTAAAACATATCCAAGTAACTTTATATATTATTATAAAATAGTTTTGTACATGAAAATGGTGTCACGTATAGCATATAGTGTTTTACATTTGTGGCAATATTACCAGGATTCAAAAGTTGGAGATTTATGGAGATTTAAGACAAGGTTTGCCCAATTCTATATTCATGACAATAAGTAGATGTTTATATAAGTTATAAGGTACAGTCGTCTGATTTAGCAGGCCATGGGACTCAAATGAAATTGAATACAAAAATATTGTCAGGCATTAATCTTAACTAGAGCTGTCTTTTTTCATTTTGGCTTAACCTCTTTTCAAAGCTTCCCCTGAAAGCCAGCAGTTTGGTCAAATAGATAAATGGACTTTTATTGCCATGGTTCTAGATGATTGAATCTGTCACTAGATAATTTTATTAAGGAAACGAGTTGAACTTTGCAGAGAAATTATTAAAAAAAAGTGAGAGACTCAATGTGATTCATGTTCAGGACACAGTTCACTATGAACAGATGTGTATTAGAAGGAAACATTTCTTTTAAAGGATAATATTCATTGCTGGTGGGGTTAGAGGTAAGACAGCTAACATCTAAGTGGACAGAATTTAGAGGCAGTTTGCTAATACTATTCTTTGACACACAAGGAAATTTCTACGCACATCATAAGAAAAACCAGTACAGGAAAAATTATCCCTACGAAACTACTTTTTGTAAATTTTAAACATCAGAAACAAACAGTTTTCAACAGATTTTATGACAAGCTATAGATTTGGTAGTTTAAAATAATTATACACACATATGTCTATACATCAAGAATCTGTCATTTTGTCATAGTTCTCTGTTAACAGCATTAATACATTCTTTCTGGGAGTTATGGAGACTGTATCTACACGTTTCTCACTTCTAGAGAATGCCTAACGTGCTTCGGTCACAGACTCTTACTTGATAGTCTATAAGCCTCTCTTCCTACCTTCCTAAAATGTTTTCTGATTTTAAGGGTTCCAATTGGCATTAGGTCCATCAAGATAACTCACATAGTCTCTCATCTTATTTAACTAGTTCAGCAAAATCAGTTGTATTATTATTGGTGAAGTGATATATTCACTGGAATTTCACAGGTTCCCATAATTACAACATGAATGCCTTTAGGGAACCATTATTTTGTCTCCCACAAAGCTGTAGGGAGACAAAACAATGTGAAGTAAGACATCATGAGATTTAACATTGTGAACCATGTTAAAGGTTTGTGATGGACAGAATTGGGATAACTAGCAAACTTATAGCAACTACATGGTAAGTACTGTACTAAAAGTTTTATGTATGTTGACATAAGTTGTATAACATGCATGCATTTTTATTCTTTACATTGTATTGTCAAGGAAGCTAAGGCACATTTGCCCAAAATTGGTGGGTAATTGATAGAGTTTGGTCTAGAAATTCAAACTGACTGCTTTCAGAGTTCATACACTTAATAATAATGACCATGTTCAAAAACAACAACAAAAAAAATCAAGTTAAATTACATTCCTTTGGCATAATCCTGTTTTTGTAAAAGAATAATTTGTATAAAATTATCAATGGGTAGAAAGGCTGAGTGATTACTTTCACTTAGTACCAACATTTCAATATGCTATTTTCTTTAATAGCTATTATTACCCAGACAAGTAAAACATCCAAGTTTGTTTAAGATACCCAATGAATTAAATGTTATTTTAGTCACCGTAAGGATAATTGTTGCTGATCTGTTTTTAAAATACAATAGAGACAGTGTAAACTCAGAGTGAAACTGCTAAGTGGAGATGCACAACCAGGCGTGAGTTTTTGCTGCAGCCGACCCTGTAGCCAGCTCTGGCTGGTGTAGAGGCTGTGTGCTTAGGACAGACCATGAGTTGTCCAGAAAGATAAATGAAGTGGGTGTGAATCAACCTTGAGAGGTACTTCAAAGCAAGATGCCAAGGTGAGCCCAGATGGAGGGATGCGATGTGTAGCACATTTCCCCATAGGAACAAGGTAATTAACAATAGTTATGTCACCAGACTAGTCAAGGGAAGCCCTTAGCACACCATAGCTAAATAGTTTATGACCTTCTTTCTAAATGAAAATGCAATTGACATTCCAATTCCAGACATCTCTCCCCTCTTTGCACCTCTATGGAAGAGTCATGATTCTCCCAGCTGTGATTAATGTTTCCTCCACTAAGGCATTTAGTTCCAGGGACAAGAAGAAATGGAACAAGAAGGGCGCAGCCACCTTAAGGAATGGAATTGCATCCCTAACGAGGGCACCTTTCCGGAAGTCAGACACTAGCTCTGCTGTATCTAAAGGACATGGTGGGAATTTACGTCACAAGGAACAAAATACATAAACACCCTTTAAATATCCCTCTCATCGTGTCTGGGTCAAACTGGAAGAAAATGACTAAGAAATACATTAAGCTATGAATGAGGGCATGTTGTACAATGGTTTGGAACAGCGATTTATATTTATCAAAGATGAGGATTCAAACCTGACAGCTCTGGCATTGAGAACATGTGAACCTTACCCTGCCTGATATTTTAGTTTCTTTCACTTGGAAATTGGCATTGTAGCTATTCCTAGGTTTCCTATAATGAGACAATGTAATGTAGGTTCAGCAGGTAGATACTAGTTGCACACAATACAGATTCACCATTGATTACATCTGTGGTTCATTCTTCTGCAAATACTGTTCCAATTAAAGAATAAGAATAAAAGCCCAACTGAGACTCGGTGCTGGTGAGGATGCCAGTGATGTGGCCTCGTCGGTTTTGGGGATATCCTGCATGTGTATGCAGAAAGCTGAGGCCATCATTCCCTCCCTCTCCTCTCCTCTATTGCTTGGGAAAGCTGGATCTCGAGGAAGTAATTTCCTTTCTTAGCCAAGCACCTCCTATCCTTAGGAAACAGTCCATTCTACTTTAAAAAGACTAATGCCATGCATCGAAAGGTCACAGTTCAGAGGTAGACATCATTATGCTTTCCTGTATTGGCTAAGGATCTCTCAAGATAATTCTGATTGCAGGGAGACTATTACAAGGTCATGGATGAATCCATACAAATGACTGTTAACGTTGGCAAATTTAAAGAGCTCATAGAACACTTAGCCACACAGCAGCAGCTTCTTCAACAGACCACATTAGCTTAGTTCTACCTTTATGTAGTCTGTGCATGCAAAATACTTGCAGCCACTGGGCAGCTAGGGTGGGCAACAGAGTGACAGAAACTAAAAACAACAAAATGCTACTAGACAGCTCCAGCTCCAGTTTTATCCAAAGGTTGTGAAGGCCCCAGAAGGTGAGTAACAGCACACACGGGCATTTCATTGAGCACTGGACACACTTCTGAAAACGTTAGGAAAACTCATTCACAAATGGGGCAAAGAGATACCCCTTTTATATAGTGCACGGGCATCAATAATTTTATGAGACCCACTCCTTTTGGCTTTCAAAGATGGCATATCACTTTTGATTATCCGGTCTGACGTCTGGAGAGTACAGCCCCTAGCCAGATTCAATCTCTACTGAGTCATTCTAAAATGTAATGTTTGCTCAAAGAAGCCGCCATTGGAGATCCTCAGTGTGGCTACAGGTACCCTACACAAATGCCATTTTCTAAGTAAGGTAAGTCCCACTTGCCATAGAAAGCGCGTTGCTTACTCCACCCCTTTTCACTTTTAAATGTCTGAAGACAGGAAGGGAGAAGATGGCATTTATTAGCTCCGCGAACAGTGCGAATAATCACAGCAATTTCCTCCAATGGCTTTATTCTGCAGTGGATCTCACCGCTATGTTCTCGCTCAGTAGCAAGATTAGGTAGGGTTGCTCTCAGCAGCTGCCAAAGCTGCAAAGGCCACTTTCTTTTCTGAACCCCAAAGTCCATGTTTCTTCCTCAGCTTTTCACCCGCAGGTGGCAGCAGCGGGCTCCGGAGCGCGTGCCTGCAGGTAAATGCTGCCCTCAGTTCTGGACTCCGACCGAGCAGGGATGGCACATAACCAGCCCGTTGGTCCTTGAGGTCAGGTAGGTAAGTGCTCAAATTTCGTCTGACCCCTCCATTGTTGGGACGAAAGCAGTGTGAAGCAGCCACAGCAAAGTCAGGCATTTCCTCTGGTTCCCTAAATTCCCCAACTCCAAGCAGCAACTCAGTCCTTTCCCTGCAGCAGGGTCAGCTTCGAAACTCTCCCCGCTCCTACCTTTCCTTGGTACCTGGGTGGTTGTCTTTCTGGCTCCCTGGGCTGTCTGCTTCCCTCGGGTTTTTTTCAGAGGGGCAGAATGCCTTAGCTGCACTCCAGTTTTAGCTCACCACCCCTTTCCATAACCCTAGTCCCCTAAGCGCTCACGCACACACACACAGGCACACACACGCACAAGCAGCTCGCTCGCGCCTAGTGCTTTCTGGCTGGCCTGCCCCAAGCAAGACCGACAGCAACCCAGCAGCAAGCCGCGGCCAAGCCGGCCGGACTTCTCGGGCCGGATGATGCCTCGGGGTACCCGGGTCACCGCCCCCTCCGCCGCCGCCGCAGCCCCAGCGCGCCGCGACACCACGCCCGCAGCGCGCAGGGCCGCAGCCCCGTGGCTCCGACCCCGGAGAAGTTGTCGCCTGGGAGGGGCCGGCGGGCTCCGGAGGAGGACGGACCCACACCTCTGGGCGAGGGGAGGGGCGCCGCAGGGGCCCCGCGCGCGCGGCAGCCCGGGGAGGGGGGAGCGCACGGCCCCGCCGCCCCCCGCCCCGCCCCGCCTCCCGGGCCCGCCACGCGGAGCGCGGAGCGCGGGGCGCGGAGCCGCCGCCGCCGCCGCCGAGCGCGCAGGGGAGGCGAGGCAGCGCCCGGCGCGCCTTCCTGCCGCCCCCGGAGCCCGCGCGCGCGCGGGGAGTGCGGGGCGAGCGCGCGTCGGGCGGCGGCCGCAACTTGGCGGGCCAGATGCCCCAGGGCGCGGCGGCGCTGCTGCTGCCTGCCTGCCGCGGCCGCCCCTGCGGGCCCGGGGCGCGTCTCCTTGGGCGGCGCTGGCCGCGGCGCGGCGCGTGCAGCGAGCGAGTGAAGGTATGTGTGGCGGGCGCGGCTGCAGCCGGCGCCAGCGCGCGGGCAGGTCCTAATGCCTGTCACTTCCCAGGACGTTGGCAGCGGCAGCCCGGAGCCCCCGAGCCCTGGGCAGGTTCGCCTGTCCTTCCCGGCCATCTGATTGGATAGAGTGGGGGCTCGACGGTGGCCGGCGTGGGACAGTCTGGCTGTGGCAGGGGTCTCGGAAACCATGGGTTATTGCAGTGGCAGGTGCACGCTTATCTTTATCTGTGGCATGCAACTGGTAAGTGACGCTTGGGTCCTCTCATTCCGTAATGTGCCTTTGAGAGAGAGAGAGAGAGAGAGAGTGGGCAGGGAGTGGAGTAAGAGGTCTGCCGTTGAGCAGGACGGAAGGAAAAAAGAAAGAAGGTGACACATATTACCTGTGTTTAAAATGATTTTGGGGGGGTGTGGGAGAAGTGAGCCTTGCTGCCCTCCCCCATTCCTGTGCCTCTAAACACAGTTTTGCAGGTGCGGGTTAAACTTGTTATCTTTAATTTCTTTAAGGGAATCGCGGTGTTAGCTCTTGTGTTATGCTTGGCGTTCCTGTTAGCGTAGCAGGGTGCTTGTCATATATATTCTACTATATATGTGTTAAGTGGAAATACAGATTCTCAGACTTTCCTTTTATACATTTGTTTGGCAGTGTCTTTATTCGTTGCCATTTGATATTTTCTAGGAATATTATACTTCTCTTAAAAACTCCCTGTTTAGGTCAGATGGCATTCTTACAGCATTCTGGACTAGAAAGCCATACTGAGTTCTGAAAGTGTGCAGATTGAAGAGAAATACTTAGATAAACTCTGCAATACCATTGCCACCGAGTGAACCGGTAACCTTTAAGTAATAATTGCTGCAACAATGTCGAGAAAAAAATAGTAGATTATCTTCCATTGTTTATGGTATTGCTGCTGAAATAGATACTATTGTCTGATCTCACAGGATACAGAATTGTATGTACTCTTTGAGGAATGTCCTATAGTTGCTAAAAAAGGCAAGAAGCCAACAGTGTCCCTGAATTTCAGTTCCGGATGGCAATGGAAGGAGGTGCTGAAGGGGAATGTAGAGGTGAAAAATGAACCACTGGCCAGTGGTTACTTAGCACTTGCTTCATTGGTACAAAGGAGCTGTCCACTGAAAGCGTAAATTAATCTAAGGAGTTACCCTCCCTTGTTTTAAAAAGGCTGGGGATTGTAGGATGGAAAGTGATTATTGAGAGCCTAGTCATTACAAAGTGCTAAAAATGAGGAAGAATTTGCTATCGAAAAAGACAGAAGACTTCCTTAAGTTTCTTCACTGTTTAGGAGTTGTGAAGACCAGCAGCAAGGTGTTTTTTTGTTTTGTTTTGTTTTCTGTTTTGTTTATTTATTTAGCTAAAGTAGAGTTTTTGAGGCATTTCAGCTCTGGATTTGGTTTCCCTTCCCAGGACAGTTACCTGATGATTTATTCTTGGGTCTGGGAATTGTGTACTATGGATTTGGTTGTATGGAAAAAGAAGCTAGAATAATAGATGCAATTTTAGGAATTTGTTTTCTCAATTCTGCATAAGCCAGCTTCTGTTTATGTCCCATAGATTCATTTAAGTTCTCAGCACAGCAATTTTGCCATTAATGATAGGGCTAACAAAACTGTACTCCATAAAACTGCCTATACAGCCTAAGTGTTCCAAGTTGTATTACACTTTCCAAACGTTTACTTTTGTATATGTTTTAGAATATTTTAGATTTGCATATTCACAGTGTAAAATCAAAACTGAGAATAGGTTGGTGGGCAAAGCATGCTTTAGTTTTCAGTTTAAAGAAATGTAAGCTATTCATTTATTAATGTAGTAGGGCAGTTGTATGTACTAGATCAGATGACATTTTGTGTGACAGATATACATTCTTAAAACAACTGGAAAATATAACTATGCCAGAGAGAAAGGTAAGTTTACAAACATGATATGGCTGTAGTTTTCTCTGTGTCTGTGTCTGTGCCTGTGTGTGTGCGTGTGTGTGTATGCGTCCATGCAACCATGTATTGTAGAAGAGCTATAATACTTGATGGAAAAGAAACCTTAATCATGGCTAAGTTATCCAACTAAATAGAGTTGTCTGCAAGGCAGGAACACTCAGCCTAAGTGAGTGCTTGAATGCGTCCTGAGAAGTATTTTATGCTTTATGAAAATCCTGCTCCTTATTCATTCCTACTTCTTATGTCACCAGGATACTATAATTAGCAGCCATGTTAATGCGGAGGCAGAACAAAAAACAAAGGACAAAGAAAATTAATTGTTCAGATAGGGTGAAATGATCACACCCTTTAGGACCTAAGAGAGTCGTCTCCTTAACTGTTGTGTTGTAGAGATATTTATGTACTTTTACATAAAATATGTCTTTGCAAATAGTTTTAGAACACCTATGAGAAGAAGTTAATGTTTACCTCTATGTTTATAGGTATAAAATGTTTATGGATCTTTGAGCTACTTTGGGGAAAATTTGTTTCACATGAAAACCAGATTCCCATGACAGCTTTTGACATGTGCATCAGTAACTGATGTAAAAGTTCATTAAGTTTTGTTGACTTCTGAAGTGTTCAGCTTGTGTTTGGACACTTGGACACTTTTTACCTCCATAACTGTACCTTAGATTTGTTAAAACTGCTGGAAGCCCAAGGTATCTAAGTTTTAAAAAAAATATTTCTTTTTTTTACATTTAGCGACTTTATTAAGTGTCTACAAGCATTGACCTTTAACCTTGTAAGTAGACATAAGTAGAATACTTTATTGTATTTGAAAGATTACATCAACTTAAAGTTAATCTGAGGAAATGATATGGTATCTTTAAGTACTGTAGAAATAGAGACCTCCCTTGGGTTATTTTCAAAGAAGATGTGGTATTCTGAACATTTAACATTTGAACAAGAGAGTGAAAAACACCACAGGCATTTTCTGGTCAGGGTTCTATATCCTTGTTGTGAATTATGCAAAATGTTTTTATCTTAATGTTTGAAAGAGTGCAAGCACAAATTAACATGTATTATTGGAATATCTGGGAATCAGGTAAATTACAATGCTATACTATGATAATTCAATATAAAACTTCCATCTATTTGAAAGTGTCTGCATGTATCAGAAGTCGAACTCTTTGAGCTGTGTGGTCAAACTGGCTTCAGACATCAGGGTGATTCTTGCAAGAAGGAGTGTGATGTCTGGAAAGAGATTTACTCCATGGTCAGAATCCTGAATTTAAGCTCATAATCGCTAGAATGTAATTTCCTTGTTATCATTGTTGCCTTCACTGCTCAGAAACTGAAGATTTCAGATAGTAACAGAAATTACCACTGTATTTCCAGTGATGGGTTTAGTAGTACAGGCCAAGAACATTTTAACTTCCTATTTACAACCTTCAGACAGCTTGGAAAAGAGTCTACCTTTTCCCCACCCAGTTTTTCTTTAAGTCAAAGACTACTTCATAGAAATGTTGAAAAAACAAATGTATTCTAATATTTCACATTGGCAAAAAATATCTCAACTGTAACATGGAAAAGCGTAACTTATTTTAGCTTGAAAACACACCTTTGTTTGCAAGTAAGGGAGGTCCAGATCTCATGTTTTTGTACCTCAGAGTCTTGTGTGGCATGAAGTGTGTATCTCATAAACTACTGAAGAAACTTCTAGCAGATTGCCACTTGCAAATGATGTTCTTGCCATGTGATCTATGAAATATTACTGACTTGGAGCAGGTGCCACTAACAATCAGGTTAGCAGCAGTGTGTGCAGCTGGGTGAAGCAACACATTTGAAAATTAAGAATAGTGGTTGCTTTCTACCACACAGTTACTATGCATTTTAAGAGGTGGACATTTATTTCAAAAAAGGCCACAGATGTAGAAAACAATAAAGAAAACAATTTTCTTTTAAGTATAGAGTACTGTATCCATTGTGACTTTTTAAATGCAGTGTTCACCATTATTTGGTGAATATTTGATTACTTTGGAAAAAAAATCAAAGTGTGGACAGGAAGTGACTTGGGAAGTGTAGGTGGAGTGTTATGGTGTCTTGGGAAACTGCATTTGACATCATGTTCCCAGATCTAACTCATGAAGAAGAGTGAAAATTCCCATATGGCACTTTAGAAAGTTGTGAAACTGGAACATTCTAAGGGGTTTCTAAATTGTAAAAATGGTTTTTCTTGCGTGTAATGTTCTGTACACATGCACAAAACCATTTTTTTGTGCATATATTTTATCTTATTTTATTTAATCTTTATTGTAATAACGTTTACCAAGAAAAGGATAGAAAGTTCTCATGGTATCTAGCCCTGTTACCCCCCCCCAACATGAAGCAAATGGTTATGATGTCATATATACCTCATTTCAGTAAGTTAACTTGTAGAGCTCTTCCATCTTTCTTCATACAAAGGCTTGGCTAGGCAGCACCCGCTGTGCAAAATGTCAGCACGTTCTCTAGTGCGGAGCCTGGGTATAGTTGGTGTCTCAGAATGGTAAACGGCCACGGCCTCTTCCTTTCTCCAAAAGTGCTTCTTTATTCTGGGGGTCAAGTTTTTCCCTTACCTAAGCAATAATTTCAGAATAGAAGTTAGGGATGCCTTGAAATAGGAAGCTTGTTTTTAGAAGCAATGGTTCATTGTTGGATATGTGTATATCTTGGAAAATTACAATTTCAGAGATAGAAACATATATCCCCACCTTTTTGTTCATTACAAATAAAAATATTATAATTTTAGCATCAATTGCTTTAAATCTTTTTGTCTATTTCTAGTGCCTAAGATTTTTAGGGAATATATTTTATTTATACTGGTAGATTTTCAAACTGGACAGTGTCATCTGTCCATAGGTAATTTTTAAATTGTCACTATACCTTGTAATATGCAAGCGTCAGAATCATCCAACATAGGGGAATCATGTCCTCTTGCCAATAACCTTCTATTTTGACCACGTCCCTATGGAAACCTGATAGTTGTTTGTAGCACAGAAAATACAATAATTTGTCACTTAACAGTAGGGACAGCTTCCAAGATAGGCATCATTAGGTCATTTCATCATGTGAACCTTATAGAAAGAACCATTTTACACAGATGTATAGGGGGTCACCTGCTACACAGCAGGGGGTATAATACTGCCATCATCTTATGTATGTCTTCAGCTAACTGACACATTTCACAGGCAACTTTGGGGCAGATGTATTTCATGCAGCGTTCCTTTGTTAACCCGTCTTTCACAATAGTGATAGAATGAAACAGTA